CGAAGTTGCTCTCCGACGGGGTCCCGTATCAGCCCCCCAAGCCCGAACAACTCAAGTCATTCGGGCCTCTGGTGGCCAACCCCGACGCGGGACCGCCGCCAGCAGAGCACCCACTGGTCGACCTATCATACGCCGATGACGGGACGGTAATACTCATCATGCCAGCGGAACACATACATTATGCTCTCAGTCGTACACTTGTGCTTGTGTCGGACGCCCTTGCACGGCGGGGACACCGACTTAACGTCGGGCCCTCCAAGACGGCGGCCCTGATCAGGTGGCGCGGACAGGGGACGAAGCGCGCGCGGCATGCAGCATGGCACGAGCATGGTGGATACATACGTGGAGAGTCAGACATTCTAGGGCCTCTGTGCGCGCCCATAGTACACAATTACATTAACCTCGGCTCGGTGTTCGCGCAAGTGCTGCGATGACGCCTGAGATTAGGTACCGTGCCTCTACCGCAGTGTCGTCCCTACAGGTTCTACGACGCAGGGTTTGTGCTACCGATGAGCTAGCACCAGAACACATGCTTATTCTTGCCGACAGCCTCGTAATGTCTGGCAGACAATACAACAACGGTGCATGGCCAATGCTTAAACAAGCAGAAGCCAAGCTAGCCCACATCGAGACCATGAAAGTATACCGTGCAGCTGCGCGCGTACGTTTCCAGGAGAATGCCTCCCAGGTCTCCGATGATCTGGTGCTTGCGCGCCTGCGACGACCTGCCCCGACCATCCTACTACGTGCCTCACGGCTCCGTCTGTTGGGCTCGCTATACCATGCCGGACCCCAGCTGGCGTTTGCAGTGGTGACGGCCGAATGGTTAGCAGCACCAGACGCACAAGCACGACAGCGCACTACACTAGGGCAATGGATACAGGATCTAAGCTGGCTGAGGACAGCAGTCAAACAGTGCCAGGACCTGCCCCCCCCAGACACTGAACTACATGTTTGGGAAAGCCTCATACGGCGCAGCCTTCCAGCCTGGAAACGTATCATACGTATCGGAGTGCATGCGCATGCGCAGTACCAATCCAGGATCACGCTAGCACGCAACTTGGAGGAACGGTTTTTTGCAGAGGTTCATGCAGTAAGGTTGCCCGCTCGTGTGTACACCGATGACAGAGGACTCCTTGTGCCGCCGCCGCCGCCAGCAGACATGACCACCATGGAGTGCCCATGGCGCGGACAAGAGTTTGCGAGACATCGGGCGTTGCGCACGCATGTAGCACGCATGCATCGACAACTGTCGACATGCATGACACGACGGTGTGTGTACGATATGCTTGCTGAAGTTCAATGCCCGACCGCACCTAGTGGACCATCTCTCGTTGGACTCCCGCAGATGCTTGCTAGCAAACATACTCAGCACCGACAACCCAGCATACCATCTACACAGCGCTACACAGCAGGATCAGCACACCGGACACACAAATCACGTCTGTCTACCACGACGTGATGTAATTGTGCCGACACGTCGTACGTACGGCCCACTTACGCAATTGGCTACCGACATAGGTGAACTAGTACCACAAGAATATGCCAGACACGTCGTGTGGGAAACCGATCCCTACCTGACGCCAGCCGCATGTGCCGTGCTCCTCCCCCCCAACTACCGACAGGCAGGGCGAGGAGGTAGGCCCAGAACCATGCCCGCCTGCCCAATCCGAACGATACCCTACCATAATGTTTTTGACCGAGCAGTATGTGGGCATTGCCGCACAGAGTTTGCCACGAGCGATTCGTCGGGCAGAATACTACATTCTCAACCTGTGCTGTGGGCGACGACGGCCAGGAGATATCCAGGCCAGTCTGGAATGGACCCAGTACAATACCGACTTTTCAATCACGGTTCTATCGATCGACATCGCCATCGACCCCGTCTTAGCTAACATGATGCGTCGAGAATCACTCGAGGTTTGGAAGGAACATATCCGAGCAGGACGAATAGTACTGTCTGGAGGGGGACCCCATGCGAGACCTGGGCCGCCATTCGTTGGGCCCCAGATGCGGGCCCCCCGCCACTACGAACGCACGACGATTTCTGGGGACTCTTGGCAGTCACACCGCGTCAGATGGAGCAGCTACGTGTCGGCAACGAGCTGTTAGGAGCCATGATTGAGCTGTTCGCAGTGCATATGACTGTCGGGACGTGCTGCTGGATGGAACATCCCATGCCAGCAGGGTGGAGACAGGAAGCAGTCAGCTCGTTCTTTTGTCCGCCACTTAGAACTATCATGGCGTCGCCCGCGGCATCAGTCACCGACTTTGATCAGTGCGAACACGGACAGGTTGCCAGGGCCCCCACACGTATACTAGCACTGCGCATGGGCACGCTGCACGAACGACTGCTAGAGACGCCTGGGCGAGGACGTTGTTCGCACGGACGTGGGGCTCATGAGGTACTCATGGGGTTCGACAGGGCTCGGGGTGAGTGGCGTACGGCCAAGAAAAAGACGTACCCACGGTATCACGGATGCAGTCAACCATATGCGCACATCGTGTGACGACGACGTGTGCCCAGAAGATATGGAGGAAGAGGAGGAGCATCGTGAGGCGTTGAGGGCTTTCTTTGTAGAATGGGACCCCTACCTCGGGACCGACGAGACTTGGGCGCCCGACTTTGTCGCATCACGTTCTGGTCGGACCCGTGCAGACCCAGGGAGTGACAGATTTTTCCGCCCGAGCCCAGGCCAGGTTCGTCCATGCCCGAGCCTGGGACAAGAATGGTGTTTGATGGCCCGTGGGGGGCAGCGGCAGGGGGCCCGGTGAGCGTAGTCCGTCGCTAACCACACACCCGTTGCGTGTGGCACCGGACCCCCGAGCGTCCGTCAGTCCGCGCGGCCGCGTGGCACCGGACCCCCGAGCGTCCGTCAGTCCGCGCGGCCGCCAGCCAGGTGCTCATCCGGCTGCACGCCGCAGCCCCCGCCTGCCGCCAGCCTTTCTTGCTTTTGCCTTGCAGATAAGGATGGGAGTCGGGGTTGCAGGATGGTGTTGTCGGGAGGGATGAGAGTGCAGTCCTTGCTCAGCTCAGTCAGTTGGCAGTGGTGCCACTAGAATCCGTCAAGAGATCTCGGCATTGCCGAAGATCAGACGAGGCCCAGTCGGACGGATCGAATGGGCAGTGCAGCTCGGCATGTTTCCTTCCAGGGAAGAAGACTGCAGCGAGTCAGACACAGCCGCCCTCTCTCCCTATCTTGCCCTCCCTCTCCAACGCTGTGCTGAGAGAGATTCGAGCCCTGGCGGACAGGGAAAGCTGGGAACACCGTGGCAGGACCGCCCCTCTGTTGTTCTGTACGCTCTCTCATACTGACCACGGTTGAAAGTCAGCCAAGCTGGCGTTTAATGACTAGTGGAGGTTGGTGTGATCTATAAGGAATGGGGGCTGGGACTTGCAATTCGGCGTTCACGCCCGAACTGTGTACTGAGCTGTACTTTACCTTCGGTGCCCGGGCAGAGTATTCGAGAGTCGACTTTTAGTACAGACAGAGGAGCTGTCTGTGCCAAATGCCTCTGCTAGCTGCAGTGTCACACTTACGCGACAGCCGCCAGGTTCAACGCGCGCGCAATCCAAAAATCCTCCTCTCTTCTCTTCTCTCTCCCTCCTCTCTTCCCTCATCCTTATGCCTCTCTGCCCTATCCCCTCGCCCTCCTCTCCCTCCTCCCTTCTCCCTCCCCTCTCCTGCCTCCTCCCTCCGTCTTTCTTCTCTTTTTTTTTTTTTTGGTTTTCTCTCTCTCTCTCTCTCTCTCTCTCTCTCTCCCCCCTCATTCTCTCTGTCTCTCTCTTTCTACCTCTCTGATCTGTCTTTCTCTATCTCTCTCTATGCCTCTAATCGACCGCCCCCCTCTTCGCTCCTTCTCTCCTGGCGTTTTCCCTCTTCCTTCGTCCCTCCCCCTCCCTTCCTCCCACACTCCCTCGTTCTCTCCCTCCTCTTCTTGCAGGGCCCACACCAATTCCAATGGCGGGCACATGTACGCCAATGCAGGATTCTCCGCCCGTTCAGGTTCGCCCGCCTGTCTAAGCCCGCCGCCCCCCGCAAAGAGAAATAATCCCCCCAAAAGGGGTGTGATCGAAGGCAAAAAGGGTGGGCACCGAGGGTGTGGGGAACTCGTTTTGAATGGCACACGGGCAAATAAGAGCGAACAGTCTTATAATGATTGTTGTTGTTGTTGTTGTTGCTCTTGTGGTTGCGGTTGTTGTTGTTGTTGTTGTTGTTGTTGTTGTTGTTGTTGTTGTTGTTGTTGCGTTGTCGCTGCTTGTTGTCGTCGTCCCACCTGCGACCCACCCGCGACCCAGCACCTGCGACCCACCCGCGACCAACCCCATGACCCGCCCGCGACCCACCCACATTGTTTTGACAAAAAATCGGCGCCTGCGGCGGATTCCTTGTATACTTTGTAAAAAGATCGGCGTCTGCTGCGGGCTTTTTTTGGAGCCTCGCATACTGCCGACGACTCCGCCGAACCCTCACTCTTATCCGCAACTGCGGGGTGCTACGTAAGTCTGCTGGCGCCTCCCGTGCCTCCCCTCATCAACCCATCCCTCTCCGCCCGTCCGCTTCAGCGTTGCAAGTCCGCCGCGCTCGGCGATTGCTGCGGGATCAGAAAACCTTGCGCAGGGAAACTTTTCTCGACTTGCCGCAATCTGGCTGTTAATTAACGAGTCTCCCCCGCAGTGGAGGTGGAAAAGGAGGGGGGGGGGAAGATGGGGAAGCGGAGGAAGGCGAGGAGGAGGAGGAGGAGGAGGAGGAACAGGACCAGGAGCAGGAGCAGGAGCAGGACCAGGAGCAGTTGAAGGAGTAGTAGTAGTAGTAGTAGTAGTAGGAGGAGGAGGAGGAGGAGGAGGAGGAGGAGGAGGAGGAGGAGGAGGAGGAGAGGGAGGAGGAGGAGGAGGAGGAGAAGGAGGAGGAGGAGGAGGAGGAGGAGGAGGAGGAGGAGGAGGAGGAAGAGGAGGGGACGTAATGGAGCCCCCATCCCACCCTATCCCGGCGCCGGGCCTTCTCCTCCTCCCCAGACGGCTCCATTGCGGCGGGCGGGGCACTGCCGCGCGCGGCGGGCCGCACGGCGGCGCCCAGCCCTGGAGGGCGTCTGCCGCCATCCCCGCCGCCTCGGCCCTGGCGGCGCCCCGCCTCCCCCGAGGATCAAACGCGTTCAAAAACGGAGGATCAACCTCTACTCTGGAGGTTTTGTTCCTCCATCCTGGGGGCTCCTCCTTCGTGCCCGAGATCCTGGCGTCGCAGTTTTTTCCCCCGGCGCACGATTTCGCCCTGCTTCGCGGGCCTGGGGGGCCCTCCTATCACGATCGAGAGCACAAAGCTGCACGGCTGTCAAGGTGGAAGACAATCACGAACAACGAACGTATCCGTGTCCGCGTTCCGCGTGGGGCATCCGCGAAAAGAGGCCCCGCATCCGCGGGGTCGCGCCCCAGGGGTCAGGCCCGCGAGGCCGTGGATACGGCGAGATGTGTCATCGAAAACAGGGCTGCTGCTCGCCTCTCGTTTTTGTCACTCTCTCTTGACAGCCGCGGGGCACTCCGCGGCGACTCCGCGCGGCACGGCTGCGGCCCTGGTCCGCCGGGGAGCCCTGGACCCTCCGACGTCCGCGGCGCATGCCGTGGTGGGGGCAGCGCGGCGACGCGCGGCCGCGGCCTCAGCTCGCGTGCTCGCGCTCGGGCGCGCCTGGGTGGCCTTCCTCGCCGCCCGGGCCGGCGCGGGCGCCCTGCTGGTCCCGCCAAGCCAAGACGAGCAGCTCTCCGGCGGCCACTTCCTGTGGAGAGCGTGGCCGAGGCTCGAAGATCGCGTGTCGTTTTTTTTTTTTTTTTTGCTTTGTGTGTGTTTTTCTTCTGGGTCTCCATGGGCCGCCCCGCGGTCACGGCTGGACGTGCCCCAGGACATGCCTGGGGGTTGACCTTGAAGCGAGGGGTCCAGATCTCCGACGGATTGCTTTTTCCAGGCTTGCGTTTTTCGTCGATCTCGGCCTCTTGGGGGCAGGTTTCGGGCCCTGGGGCCACCAGAACTGGACCCCAGACGAGACATCGCCACCGAAGGAGGGGTCGAGAACTCTGGGGCCCGCGGCGCCCGCGGGTTGAACGAAATCAATCTGTCGGAGGTCAGGAGGGGGGAGGAGCACCCCACCCAGCCGGCCCTCCTCTTGTCCAACGCCTTCCCTCTTCTCCTCCCCTGCCCCATTGGTGGTGGGATTTCCGGGCGCCAGAGGTGGCGTCGGTTTTCGAGCAGGGATCGTCTCGGATGCCGCCCTCTGCAAAACCTCGATCTCCACCTGCCGCAGCTTCCGCGCGGCAGGTGGAGCCGCGAAACGGCCACCGAAGCCGCCGCTGCGGCCGCAGTGGCGGCCGCCGCTGGTGGGCGTCTGGCAGTACAAGTCGAGGAAATCTTAAACGAGAGCCTCGTTTCAAAAGAGCACAGCCCTCCGTCCGTGTAGCTGTTGCAGAATTTCCAGCGTCTGGTAAGATTTGGCTGAAGAAATTTCAAGGAATAACCGAATTTTGAAAAATCCGCCGACCCTGTCGGCGTGTTGGAAAGGTTTTTCCGTCTTCCCCACAGCGTCGTCGCCTCTTCTGCTTTCCGAGGGCTCCCTACACAAGTCCACACAAAAATTGGATAACGTCGTCCTTCAATCGAAGGGGAGCCCCTTCCCTTGATCCCTTCCCCGCCGGGGGGGTTCCCAGGGCAACTCCCGTGGGGGTCCCCCCCTCACTCCTGGGGCGGGTCCCCCCTCGGATACGCAGCCCCCGGCCTCTCATCCTCCTGCGTCCTGGGGTTCCGTTGGCCCTCCGGGGGCCGTCTGCGGGCCCTTTCAGCCTATCTTAAGGCTCCTTGGAGACCTTTCGCCATTTTTAGACTCTCTTGGCAGCCTCTGGCGGCACTGTTGACAGCCTCTGCGGGCGCTTTTGGACCTCGCTCGACGCCGTCTTGGAACCCTCTCGGGCCACTTGAGGGCGCTCTTTGCCTATCTTGGCACTCTCTGGAGCCGTTCCCGAACTCTGGAGGAGGCCTCTTGAGCTGTCTTCGGACGACCTTGCAGGCATCTGGCGTCGTCGTCGAGCCATCTGAAGGCATCTTGGACCCCTCTACCTCCATTGTCTTCGTCGTCGCTGCCTACAAGGTCGGCGGCATCGGCCGTAAGGCCTTCGCAATAACCGTCCTCCGTTCGTGTGGCTGGCTGGCCTTTACAAACAAGACTGAACGCAACACCAATCGAGAGCTCAATTTTGAAAACCACCCGCCTTCGATCCGTGTGGCCGTTTGACTTTGTAAGCTTCGTGGTCGTAACAAGTGAAGACGTCTCAGGCGAAACGCCCGGACTGCCTCACTGCCTTAGCCATACGTCTGGTGGTGCGACAGGGAAAAACTATTCAGAAGGAAAGGGGATAGGGGGAAGGACGCGTGCCCCCAGCCCCGTGTGGACTGCAAACATTAGCCAACCTCGGCCGACGATTGCTGGCGCAGCCGTCACCAGGCAAGCACCCTGCGGCTTGGCCAGGGACGGAGGGGGGAACTGCCTCTCCCAGTGGGCGCCTCCCCCCAACCTCCCGTCCTCTGTTGCCCCGAGCCCCGCCAGCTGCTCCCGCAGCACCGCCGCTGGCGGTAGGAGCTCCGCAAGCGCTGGCACGGCATCGCGGCTCTCGCCAGCCTCCGACGCCTCGGCCACCGCTACAAGGTCGCCCAGTCGCACAGTTCCCCGGTCAGACTGGTCGAGGGCTTCCTGGAGGTCGCCTTGCTAGGGCCAGAGCAGATGGGGTCGGAGGATCGTGCTGCTTCGACGATGCATCGGCGACGTCGGGGTGGAAGAGATGGATCGCGCTGCATCGCCGAATTGCCGTTGATGCGGCGCGATCCTCCGAGCCGACCTGCCCGAGACCCGTTTGGGCGGCCTTTCCGTCCAGGGCACGCGTCAGCCTCTCCAGTGCGCACACAGCGTCGAGACAGGTCTCGACTGCCAGCGAGAACTCCTGGAACCCCACGAGGCCGCCCGGCGCTCCGCCGAGCGTGCGGCCCACCTCGGCCAGCAGCCCCCGGGACACTTCCGGCGGCAGCGGGGAACAGACCTCCGTCCGCCGTCGTCGTTCGTCGCCGTTCGTCGCCGCCGTCCGCCACCGTGCGTCGCTCCCCGTCGCCGCCGTGGCCGTCCACCCGTCGCCGTCGCCGCCGCCGTCCGTCGCAGCGGTCGCCGCCGCCATACGTCCCAGGTGGCAGCGGGGCGCAGACCTCGCGCAGCAGCGCCTCCAATCTCTCGAGGGGCATGCCGCGCTCCACGCGGGCGCCCGCCTCAGCGCAACGGCTGGGGCACGCGGCGTTGCCAGCGGCGGGAACGGCGTCAGCGTGGCCGCGGCTCAGGGCGCAGAACGCGCTGAAGAGGTTGTCTGGGAAGCAGGGCCGCGATCGGTCGGAGGTTGCCAAAGGTTCTTTGGACTTTTGCTCCCTTCTGGGCCTCCCAGAAGCCTCCGAGGGCGTATGGAGACCTCCCGGGACCTCTGGGGAGCTCCAGGGGCCTCTGGAAGTGATCCTGGTCCGAGGTGCCCCCAGCTTTTCGCGCTCTCTGGGCCTCGTGGAATGCTCTGGAGGCCTTCCGGGCCTCTGGACAAACTCGGCTCACCTCGGGCCAGGACCGCCTCTGGCAACACCCGAATCGGGGGCAGGCGCGGATCAGGTACCACGCCAGGGCGGCGAGGTCGTCGGGCTGCCGGCGGCCAGGAACCAGACCAGACTCCGCCAGGCTGGAGGCTCGTCTTGGGTTCGGGGGGGGGGGGGCTCCTGGCCGCGGACAGCACCTCCACCTGGTGGAGTCGTGTCGAGTTTGGGGCCGCCGAGCTGGGACGCGTGCTTGAAGTAGGCGCTCAGGAACGGAAGCGGGTCCTCTGGCCGCACCTCGAGCAGCACCGCGAGGGCGTCCTTCAAGTACGCGGCTATGCCAGACCTCTCGGCGAGGGCGCGCAAGTCGTCATCCTCCTGCGCTGCAGCCATGCCGTGCTAGGCGTGCGGCGCGGGCCTCACAAGTGGCTGTGCTTGCCGCGGCTGGTGCTGCTCAATAGGGCAGTGGTGCCGTTACGCTGAGGCAAGTGGCTCCCGGAGCCCGTTCAAGTCCTGATCCCTTGCGGCTCAAGCTCGGCACAATTCCTTTCGCTCCTGGCTCCGCGCAGATTGGGCCCAAACGGCTAAGCTGGAATCGGCCCGCCCGACGCGCCCAGTAGGGCCCGCCCGCCCGCCCCTCCTGCGAAGGCCCGCCCGTTCGTTTGCTTGAAAGCCAGCCCGCCTGCTCTAGTGGCCAGCCCGCCCGACTCGCCCGGTGGGTCCGCCCGCCCACCCCGCCCGTTTGGGCCCGCCGGCCCGACGCGCTCGCCATGGTCCGCCCAGCCGACCTGCCCGTCGAGGGCCCGCCCGCCCGCCCGACGCCCCTGTTATGACGCCCACTCGACCGCTGGAAAGCCCTCCCAGCCCGCCCGTTCGGGCCCGCCCGCCCGACCCGCCCGCCAAGGTTCACTCGCCCCGACGCGCTCGTCAAGGTTCCGCCCGATCGCTTGATCGAAAAGGTCCCACCCCCTGCGCCGCCCGCCAATGCCCTTCCCCCGACCCGCCCAGCGGGTGCCGTGAGGCCGCTCGATCGAACGCCAACCCGCCCGCCCCGCCCGCCGACTTCCGCCCGCGGGCCGCAAGGGTCTCGACCGCCTCCCATGGGGGCAGCCTGCTGCCTCTGGCCCGTCCCCGAGGGCCCGGATGCGGCCAGCCCGGAGGCCGACATCGGTCGGGGGCAAGACGCCGGGGGTTGCAACAGAAGCAGCCCCGCCCCCGCAAAGCTGGGCCCGCCCGCTCGCTCGCTCGCCTGGAGGCGTCGGGGGGGGCCCGCCGTTCGCGCGGCGGGGCGGGGCGGCGGCGGGCCGCCGTCGTCGCCGCGGCCGTCGCTGTCGCCGCCCGCCCGCTCGGAGGCGCCGGGGGGGGCCCACCGCACAGCGCGCGGGGCGGCGGCGGACCTCCTGCGGTGGAGCTGGCCCTGGCCGCTCACGGCCAGCCGCGGCCACGGCGGCGCGGCGGCCTGGCGCGGCGCGCGGGGGAGGAGGAGAGCGAGCCAGGGGGCGGAGGGAGGCGGAGGGTCGAGGTGCGGAGATCCGAGTCGGGGGTTCTGTTGTCCCGACACCCCTTGTGGTTGGGGTCTGCAGCTCCTCTCCTCCTCTCCTCTCTCCCACCTCCTCCCCTCCTCCTCGCTGGCTGCCTACCGCTACCCCTCTTTCTCGCCGCCTCCTCAAGCCCCTCATTCGGTCGCTTGACCTGACTGCCAGCTACCGGGCTCCGGTGAATGTCCAATCTACTGGTTCCTTCATCCTTGTGGTCCGCGTCCAGTGCGCGAGGCACAGCTCCCTTCGCGCTCTCACGTCGTCCCCCGGGAAATAGCACCTCGCTGGCCCTGACCACGCAACGCTACAGGCGACCACTTTCGCGCCTCTGCGGATCTCTGCGGGCAGCCTAGGTCTACTCAGAAGGCCCAAGCGGGTTTCCGAAGGATTGCGAGAGGCCCGCAGCGTGCTCTTATTTTAATAAGAATGCATCCCCAGGACGAGAGTTCTTTCCGCTTGGGCACAGAGATGATGCCTTCAGCTGTTGCGCCGGCGCGCCTGAAATGAAACTTGGCGTGTCCAACTAAATTGGTGCGGATCCGAATTTGGTTTGGATTTGTGTTGCGGTGGATCCAATTTCCGTCCGCGCGGATCCGATCGGATGTTGTGGATCTGATCCCCGTCCTGTTTTTCACGCGGATCCGTTCTTTTTATCCTGCTTTCAATCTATCCGCCAGCCCCCTTGTGGGGCCATCAAGTTGCGGGGGTCAGGCTTGCTGCTCCCTGCTCCAGCTCCAGTTTCAAGTCTCCAATGTTAGAATTCTGCTTTCTGCTTCCTATTGTAAATTGTTTCTAGACCGCGCGAGTGGGGAGAGCCCAAGAGGAACTTTTCACCTTCCCGCTTGGGAGACGTGAAAATACATGGCATTCGTGCCATCGAGGCCACACTCCTTTGTAAATTGCACATATTCCGCGCTCTCGAGGCCACCATCCCTCATAAAGGCCCCGAAGACGGTCGAAGAGGCCTCCAAGACGGCCCAAGAGTGCTCCAATGCGCCCAGAAACGGTTCCAAGACGGCCCAAGAGGGTCCCAAGAGGCCCCTAAGAGCGCTCCAAGAGTACCCCCAAGAGGGGCCCAAGCAGCCGAAATCAATCATTTCCCTTTGGTTTTTGAACGATTTTCGCATGCTCGCCTTTTCGAGCTCCCAACGCTCCGAGACGGCCCAGGAGACTCCTAAGATCGCTCCAATAATGCCCAAGAAGCATCCAAGAACGCCCAACGACGGCCCAAAAGGCCCCCAATACAGCCTCAAGGGGGCCCAAGAAATCCCCAAGACGGCCCAAGAGGCTCCCGAAACGGCCCAAGAGGGCCCCAAGAAACCTTCAAGATGGGGCCCAAGAGGGAGATCCGAACCGACATTTCGAGCCCTCCGCTCCAAGAAGTTCCCAGGAACCCCGAAGAAACCTCCAAGAGGCCCCTAAAAGGCCCCGAAAGGCCCCCAAGAGGCTCCAAGAAGCCCCAAGAGACTCCAAAACCGCCCCCCAAAGGCCACCGGCCTCTAAGAGGCTTCCCAAGCCACTTCAACACATATACTCATACTTACAATCCAGGCAACGACATGCCCAATAACTACGCCAATGTCTCAATATATTTGTTGTTGATTCCTATCCGCCCTCGGATGATGTCCCCAGATGTATCAAGACGGCGCGTAAACGCACCGAAACGACCCTAATCTATCCCATCATGACAGAGAAGGGGCCAGCGGCAAGGGGCGAAGCCCTTACGGAAAATATAGAAGAACTTAATCAGGTGACGGACGGAAATCGGATCCGCGGCGTCCAAGCCCGCCGCTTTTGACATTCAACGGGAGAAAAGGGGTTTGTTGCGAACTGTCGCAGGCAAGTCACGCGTTGTTTCACGGGCCTGCCAACCCTCCCTGCATGCGGGTCGCAGCCAACATTTATACATCTCTCCTCACCCCCGGCTGCTGCAAGCATCTTGTCCAGACACCGTGCTTCTGGCGGCGCCGATGCTCTCTCGCCAACACTTTGTCGCAGCTGGCGCCTCAAGAGGAACATCTTTCGTTCTGCGTGAGTACGTGTTCCAACAAGTCTCCGTGGCACTCTGATATGGCTTGCTGGCGCGCTCCTCCAATTCCTCCTCCTCATGCTTCTCCCGAGTAGCCAAACAAACCACGCGGGTGGACTCGTCGGACCTTCGCCCATCCATCGGGATGGGTGAAGGAACGGTGTGGGGTACCTGGCAGCGAATCAGCTGCATGGAGCTGACTTCCCTGGCAACTCCAAACGCTTGGAGCCACTCGAGGAATGTGCCCAGCGGCGCAAGTCGAAGAGAATGAGTAGGCGGAGGAGAGGGCCATCGGGGGCCCAAACTGTGCCCCCCCAGCCGAGGGGAGGCCGCGCGGGCTGTGCCTGCGCGGGTGTTCAATGGACACGACGCCGCGATGGATCATCGGTCTCGGCATGGCAAGCCCCCGCAGTATGCGCAGCCGATCAGCGTGACAGACACCAGCTCCTGGGCCCGGCAGGCCCGCCTCGCCCGCAGGCCAAACCAGAATGCAAACCAGCGTGCCATGAATGAAATCTGCAGTAGCAGACCGCCTACATCGACAAGCTGGTTGCCGCAAAGGTCCAGCTCCAACGCTCCTGCTTCCAGCCTGTGTTCTTTCTTTCCCCCGCGTCCCCGCGTGGCCGATTCTGGAAGCTCTGCACCTCGGAATGTGGGCGTCTCACTTTTACTTGCGCCGCTTTCCGCCGAAGGCGGGGCTGCGCCGAAGACGAGCCTGGCCGCCTCTCCTCTGCATGCTGATTTATGGCTACAGCTTCGGCTCAAAGGGGTTGGACGGCGGCCCCTGGGGCCGACAGCGGTCCCTGCGGCCGCCCTTTCGAGCCTCGGGCGGGCCACCCAGCCCTGCCGCGCCTGCAGGACGGCGCGACTCGGCGGGCCTGTCTCGTGGGCCCTGGCGTTGGCGGCCGTGGCCAGCGAGTGGCAGTCGTTCGGCCTCGCCTCGTGGTGGTCGGGCGACGCGGACGAGGATTTCGGTTCCGAGCCCCTGGGCCCGGCGGGTACAAGCGCGGAGCACCGCGAATGGCGGGGCGTCCCCGCGTGGTTCATGGCACCGTGGGCGCGCTGCAGTGAACCTCCGCAAGACGCGCAGGCCCCAAGGGGCCGTGCTCTTGCTGGTGAGTCGCATCGGTGCGGCCAAGTCTACGACCTGGAGCCAGCTCAGCGCGTCATCGTGGTGAACTTGCGAGATGAGAAGTTTGTGCACTCGCACCCGAAGAAGAGGATCGTCTCGACGGAGCACCCTGGGCTGACGGAGAAGCAGCGGGACGCGGCCGTGATCGCCGCCGAGAGACTGATCGCGAGGAACGAGCTGAAGGAGGCAGAGGCCGCGAGCACCAAGGCCAAGCCGACGTCAAAGAAGAAACAAAGCAAGAATATGCTGTTGGCCAGCTGGATGTTCAGCGAACTGGTGACCGCCCTGGTGACGGGATGGAGCCAGCGTGCTTATGGTTCAGTTGCAGCGGTGAGCTTCATCGGTTGGCGTATCTAGCGTTTCTTCAGGTTGGGGTCAGTCGTAACAGGGCTGTGTCAAGCCGCTTCCTCTGCCATCGAAGCGGTCGAGGATCTGTCGAATGCGATGGACTTTGTGAGCGACTTGCACGAGAATGGCGACCTCAAGAAGGTCCTGGGCGTGATGGATTTCATCCATGGCTTGGTCTGCTTGCTGTGGGCGCACCTCGCCCTGGGTAACAGCGGGGGCGACGTGGACACAGACGGCGACAGTGATGACGACGCCCGGCTCTTCGGGGCCGAAATCGGTGACGACGACGACGAGCCCGCCGGTGAGCAGCTCTTCTCGGAGCTGGCGCGGGGGCCGGCGGAGTTGGGATGATCGATCTGAAGCTAGAAGATGCGAGAACCTCGTGGTCCGCCCCTGCCTCCGCCCGCTCGCCGGCCACCAGGTGCAGCCCCGGAACCTGCTCGTCCCGAGGAAGGGGGTGATCTCCGAGCACGGAGGACATCGATTCCTTCATCAAGAGGCTGAACGAGCGCGAGGCGGTGGTCGATCTTGACTCGGGCAAGGC